CTGCGCGCGGCGCGCCCGGGTCGGCCGCCCGCCTGTGCGCTCGGCTCGGCGCGGCGGGGGCAGGGACCTTCCGCCCGGGTCCAGGAGCTGAGCAGCTAGTAGGAGGCCGGGGCAGAGCAGCTCTGGCTTGTGCTGGCTCCTTGGCCGCCTCCTCCACGGGTGTCGCTAGTGCTGCCTGTTCCAAACCGCGGTTAGGCCCCAAAATACCCAAACCTGTTTAAAAAGCATGAGGATATAAAAATACAAAATTTTCATCGTTACAGTCTTCTGGTTGTTGAGGGTTTGTGGGCCCTGTCCAATGTCTTCTAAGCAGCCAGAAGCATTAGAAGCTTTTTTAATGTCCACTGAGATTCCCTCAGAAATCCTGGACAGCAGGCCCTGGGGTCTCAGAAAAACACCTAAGGACCCAGGACTTGAGAGACCCTGACAGTGCTTTGGGCCTCCCTTAGCACGTGTGTTGTTGTTTGTAAGATAGTAAGCATTACTGTGCTGTATTAAAAGTTGGAATATGTTCCAAGCAGTCTTACAGTAATGCTTGCTCTGGACAGAACTGGAACCAACTCTGCCTCCCCCCAACTCTGATCCCAGAGCCATACGCTGCAGTTTACACGTATGCCGGTGAGGACATGCAGCCCCCTTGCCCAGAGCCTGCCCCCATCTTGCTGTGCCCCCAGCACTGTCCTGCTCAGCAGGCCTGCCCCTGGCGTGGCGGAGCGAAACAAATTTGCTGCTGGCAATGGGCATGGGGCACCAGGAGCCAAGCCCAAGAAGGGTGCTTCTGCCACTGCAACCAGAGGGTGAGCCAAGTATCTGCTGCTGGTAGTCTTGAACCAGCTCTGGTGTTGATTCTCAGTCCAAAACCCAGCGCTGCACTGCTTTCCAGCCTGCCAAAGACTGGTGTGGTACTAGGGCTCAAATCTTCAGTCTGTTGATGACTTGTCAGTCCCAGCCTCATCATCACACTGGAATCTTCAACTTGTTTTATCTCCGTGGAGCCATCCAACAATAGCTGTATGTGTTACTTAACACGATCTAGAGAGACTCATTATGCAAAAAGTCCTAATTTCGCTACGATATGATCGCGCTTAGCACATGTTTTACTGGCCAAGTTACCTACAATTAATATGTCCTAAGTGTAATGTGTAACATGGCCCTAGGATGCACATGGGGCTGGGTGATATGTGTAATATGGCTTTACACTAGAAAAATACAAAAAAGGAAACACCCCTGGAAAGGAGGGAGCTAGGAGTACCAACTTGTGTATCACTAAGAAGTCATGATGTAATCAGTTCCAAAGCAGGTCATGTGTTCCACTCATTTCATTGATCCTGAATCATCAAGTATGTGTTGGTTAAACAATACAGTGGCTCCCAGAGCCAGAGAAGTCCATCTTTGCAGCAGTCTCTTCCTCCAAAGCGTGTCTGGCTTTTTGACATCTGTGTCTGTTACATAGTTCTATATGGTGCCTAAGTTGCCCTGAATGCTGGTATCCACCTTCATCCTGCAACACCAAACCACATTCAGCAATCCACTGCACCCTCCAGTTTCACCTTTGCAGGGCAAAGGCCATCAAGGGCTCATTCTTGGACTGTTTTTTCACTCTGAGTGCTGTCTCTGTAGACAGCCACTACCAGTATCAACAGTGTCTGAGGGTTTCTTGTGCACTCTGCGTATCTCCCCTCCAATTCCCTGCCCCCATGGTATATAGAACATCTTATTGTCTGTGGCTGCAAAGTGCCTACTCCACACCCTTTTCAGTGTGCTTCATTCCAGTCCCCCATTCTCAGTTCATGTGCCTTGACTGTGTTAAAATAGGTGAAGAGGGGTCTTGCTGATACCTGCCCCTGGTTCCACCAGGTGCCCTACCTTAATGGTTCTCAACCTTCTGCCCCCATGAGCCAGATAAGTGGCTCGGGGCTGGTCTGCAGGCCAGATCCAGCATGAAATAGTGCAGGGGAAGGCTGCAGGTGCAATTCAACTGCATGCCAGCCTGCCACCTCTCCCCTCCCTGCCAGATTGTGCTGTGACCCGCTCCTCCCCTCCTGCCCTTGCTGGTCTACTCTGCACACTGGATCCAGCTGCAGAGGGATCCAGCACATGGGACTGTGTCATCCAGTCCACAGGGATCCCTCCTGGGTCTAAGTTTGACAATAGGGGAGCCATGGCAATTCATGCTACCACTGCTCCCCACCACCAAATTTCCAGATCTGTGGGGAGCCCTATAAGCTGGAGGTTGAGCACCCCTGCCCTAACTGATCCAGTGTCATGGCCTTCTCCCCACTGCTGGTGACTCCACCCATGACCATTCTTCATTAGTGAAGGAATACAGCATCATTCAGTGCTGCTCCCCTTCTCTGTCCTTGTAAACCATTGCTCTTTGATTCCACTCTGGCAAGACCTGCCTCAGCAGGAGCCACCAGATGGCGTCATGTCCCCTATTTGCTCCAGTGTGCAATAGCATTCTCCCAAGGTGCCTTGCAGACAGCCCATAGGCTCCTTCATGCAGACCTTACTGGCAAGGGCATTGCACTAACCTTAGTTACTGTGACAAAGTGCACTGCTAGTTAACATGGATCCAAACTCTGCCTATGGCATACTGCATCTGTTATGATGCTTTCCAGCCTGCAGAGCTCACATTTGACCCTACTCCAGGGTTGTCAAACATATAGCTTGCAGGTTGTATCTGGCCCATGCAGCTATTTGGCCTGCTAGGCTACCAGTAGGCCACTAGAAGTTATGGGGTATGGGCTGCTGCAGAATTTGGGGCCCTTCTGGCCCTACAGGCGCTGTCCATTGACACTGAGCCTAGCTTGGTGCCACTACCACCAGACCCCTTGCTGCTGCTGCTGTGGCCAGAGCATCCACCCCTGTGCCTTGGGATGAATCTGGCCTAGGGTCCCAGGTAAATTTAACACTCTTGCCCCAGCCTTTCAAATCCTTTAGTCATGTAACAAGTAATGTTTAAACAGTAAGATCATTGGAAAGGGCTGGAAGGGACCTCACAAGGTCACCTAGTCCAGCCCCTTGCTCAAAGAGGATCATCCCTGAAAAAAAAAACAAATAGAAAGGCCAGGGTGTGGTATTTAACTCAGTGTTTCATCATCTAAATAAGTGGTTTGAATATGTGAGGTGCTGAGTACCTGAAACTTACCTGGATGTGAATTGCAAGCCACTTCCTGAGGCTCACCAGAACTCATGGCCCCAATTCTAGGCTCCCTATTTTGACTATTTGAGTATTAAACATTCTGAAGAGGTTTGTGGCTGCATCTTTGTTGTCACTGACAAAGGTAACAAGAATCTAAGGAGGTCCATGTGCACTTGGTCTATAGCTCAGTACCTAGTAATAGAGTTTCTTCCTGTTCGTTTGGTTAAATTCAATTTTCCTGGTGTTAAAATATGGACAGACCATATTTGCCCCTCATATGATGAAACACATTTTGCACTGATCAAGTGAAAAAGAATCTGGCATATATCATGTCTTGGATGTTAATTGATAAAGATGTTTCTGGCAAGAATTCTTGTGGGTAGTATCTTTTATTGGACCACCAGCATGGTTGGGATAGACAAATGCAAGCTTTCAGCTCTCAGGACTCTCAGTATTCATCCTCAGGCCTCTGGGAGAGAAGCAGACCACAGCAGAGGTAAAAGAAGATGGAACAAAAACTTGTGTAAAACACCATATAAAAAACTCTTACACAAGTTTTTGTTCCATCCACGTGCTACTTGCCTTTGCTGTGGTCTGTTTCTCTCTCAGAGATCTGATGAAGGGTATTTTGATACCCAAAAGCTTGTCTTTGTCTATCCCAACCATGCAGTTGGTCCAATAAAAGATTACTTACAATAAGTCTTGCATATTTTCTGGATCACAATAGCAGCAACATCACTTCAAGCCTACCAAAGACATTTCTGAAAGTCTAGGAAGATCAAGGGTGATTTTC